GTGTGTGTGTGTGTGTGTGTGCGTGTGTGTGTGTGTGTGTTTCGCGGTGCGTCTTTGTGTGCACACACACACGTCCGCTGCTCTCTGCTGTGTGTGTTTCAGCGCGAACATGTACGCAAGCGCGTCTTTTCATTTCAACCAATCAGCGCCGACGCAAATGACGTCACACACGACAACAGCTAAGCTAAGTTAGCCGAGACGACACTCGAAGTCGGACGGACACGATTTTCTGCCAATCTGTGTTTTTCCCTTTTTGGCCAAATATATTTTTTACGACAACTGTCTTGTTGACGGCGTCTTTTATTCGTTCCACTGGGGTTTAGCAGGTGTGTTTATAAAGAGACGAAAATTGTTTGGGGACTATCCCCCACGTTCTAGTTGAGATGGTATAACCCAAGAGGCAAAATGACGCTTGCTACTGTTGTTGCGAGTTGCCATTCGTTCTACGAAACCATTAGTCAAACGCCATCATGCCTTCTGTTGTTATTACACAAACAAAAATCTCTTTACTGTTACTAGTGTTAGTGCCTCAATATGCTACGCTCGTGAAAGCAATACAACGAACTCAAACGCGTCTTCGTTCAATGTTGTCAACTAATATCCAGATTATGCAAATTTTCCTCAATTCTCCGGAGAAATTTTCATAAAAATTTGAAAAACCCCGGAATTCCGGGAAAATCCGGAGGACTTTCATCTCTGATATTGTTCTGTAGACGTTTGAGGTGATGTATTGGAAGATAAAGGTAACTTTTTTTCTTTTGGTAATATCAAAGACGTAATCTTTTATGCCACACCTTTTGTTATTGATGTGTGCGGGCGAGTGCTTGGAAGGGAGACTAAGACTATATAAGGCTGCCTTTCCAACAGCTCCTGTATTTTGTTCATCTACTTCTTCCTTTCATAACTTGCTGCTGTGAATTGGGAATTTCTCCATTGCGAGACTAATAATACAGATTATAGTTTGTGAGTCGGCAATGGTGTTTTTAGGAACAGTTTAGTAGAGAGCTCCAAGTTAACACACTTCAAGACAGAGCAAGGTAGCTTTTCAAAATTTATTTCAATAATTAAACAAGTTAAACTCAGTTTATCTTTAAAACGTATCCTTTGAACACTGACGTGAATACAATGAGAAAGAGCTGGACACCCTTGCACTCAAGACGAAAAGCCCCCCCCCCCAAAAAAAAACAAAAAACGAAAACAAAACATATTCTAACATTAAAGCACTTGCGGTTGCATTTGTATTGAAATATACTGAATAAAGTGCACTCTCATACAAACAAAACAATGTGCTGAAGCAACAGATTTCACACCAGTTCAGTTGAAATTTGCATATGTGGAAATAAAAAGTCTAATTGCAGAGTAGGCAGTATTTAATCCTTATCTTTGCTATCCAAACGTTAATGCTATTTTCTAGGACACTTTGTCCTCATGAGTGTGACAATTTGCTGCACTAGTAGGACGTTCGTGTCTTACTAGTTACATTTTTTCATTACTGGATTACATTTCTGCACACTTGTAGCGACTAAAGAGACCAAAAAAACTCTTTACACTAGGAGGACAACCACCTTAAATGAGGCAAAACCGTGCACTAGTTGATGTCTATGCACTACTAGTACAACTACCAAAGCGCTAGACATGAAGTAGTACAATTTTTTAAATGTCACCCGTAGTGAGCAGTTATCAACTAGTGCACAGTTTTCCCTCACTGGTAACATGCAGATGTCCCACTCTTGAGGAAAAAGAGCATAGTATTATATCGTGGTTGTCGGGCGCAAATCTCGTATTTTCAAATATGGTCAAGTTCTTATCTTTCCACAAATTGGATCCTATTTTGACTTTCTGCACATTGAGTTGCAATTACACCCAAGTAAATTGTTTGAGAGCTAATCTATTAATGTTCTGGGACACTAACTGCGAGAAGGGAAAACTTCCAACTCTTCTTCACTCAACGGGAGCTGTGCCACATTATGTCGCCTCAAGACTGAAATTCCATTCGTTTATTTTAGGGTAATAATGAGTGACTGTAGTTATGCTACATACATTTGAGGAAGCCTGTTTTGTTAGAAACGGATGGCCGTCACGCTTCTGCGCACAAAAAACTGGTCAGCCACACACTGTCATAAAAGTCTGTCTGCAGATTAATTTAGCGATTGTCAACGTGCCTCACTGATGTCTATTACCTTTTAAACATGTTTGAGAATGTGACATAACAAGAGTCATTTATTGTTGTGAAGTACTGAAGGCTTTTTTTCTGGTTGGAGAAGTTAGATTTTTTTTTTTTGGCGTATTAGCTTAGTGATTGAAGAGAATTTGAGGGCGGTGGTGTGTCATGTGTGTCAGTAGCTACGAGGTGTAATACTGATTTCAACAATGTGCAGTGCTTAGTTTTGTTTTTTTACTTTCCCAAATAGTGATTTTGGAAATGCGAGGATTCCGCCCGACAGCGACAATATCAAGGATATCAAAGAAATGCTCCAAAATCTTTCCATGAGCCGCAAGCTGATGATTATCAGTATTCCTCGTCCAGATCGTCGTCCAGATCGGAGAAGTCGATAGAAGGTCGGCCATCTTGTTCCCCGTAGTTACTCTCCTCGGGAGGATCTGCAGCAATCACAAACCGAAGTCAATGAACCGAGCATTTGCATATACGTGCACGAAAATGTTGAAAGCCCTTTGAGCATTTTTTTCCATATCCAGCAAAAAGGTCCATGACAGTTGCCCTCATGACCAAGACAACGCATTGCACTGGCAGAATAACTGCGTCTTACATGTAAGATTTTTTTTTCCCTTCCACAACAAGTGCCACTTTGGGGCTTGCTAGCACATAGACCAAAAGCCTTCATCCCACTGAGGGGCGAACGTCTGCAAAGGTAGCGGATGGTGCATCTCCTTGTTCAAGGTCGCAAATGTTTGCCAGATGTTCAACGTGTCCTTTACGAACTCTGACGAAAACATGCTGTCGCGACCTTCGTAAACATTCGCCCCTCAGTGGGCTACGGGCTTTAAGGTGCATAAAGGAGATGGAATAAAGGCTCAAAGGGGTTTCCATACGTAACGCCTTTTGTAACACGTGAGGGAAGAGTAAGTGACATACTTTCAAGGTTGTCCATGTGTTCTGGAAGAATTCTCACCAGGTTAAATGACTGGATGGGAAGAGGGAACAATTGGCTCTTTTCAAAACTAACATTGCTATAAACAGTCAAATGCTTCCAAGTTTCACTCTGGTGCTTGTGATTCACACACACTAAAGAGCAGTCAACTGCACAATACAGTGAACTCCTGTTACATTGCAGATTTTTAAGCTATCGTTTGAATTTTTATAAGTTCATAGGAAAGTCCAAATTAGGAATTGCGTGCCTTCACTGCTGGGAGACGAGGTGTAATTAACAGTAAGAAAAGGCAGTCATCATTTTCCCAGATCATACGCATATATGCCTGTGACCAATAGTGATTGGACGTACACTTTTGTGTGATGCTGTTAAGTCAAACGTCTTTGAGGGATAATAAAAACTGTATTTTAAAATTACATTCTCTGCTCGCCTCATCTATAGCATGTTGTTGGTGTTGATACTGTATCTACACCAACCTGCACCTCCACCAGTTCGCACCTCCACCACCTGCACACCTGGCTCCAAACCGACTGCAGGACGCGCAGCGTGGGCACCATTGACAGTTTTAATTTATTCTGGGGCCGTCCATCCCTCTTAAAGGTGGACGTTTTTTTACTGGTAATGTTAACACCAATGCTAGTGTTATTCCATCTATGGTATTTTGTATTACGTTAGCATTAGGCTAACTGACTTTCATAAGAGGAAATCATACGTATTGGTGTTTCATTAGACACTGAATTTTCTTTTGACATTTTACAGTCAACTTTAACCATGGAGGGCAAGTACACGCTGCCTCCAAAAAGCGTCTTCATCTCCTACAAGTGTGGTTACACGATATAGTGTCCTACTTCTTGACGAGAATAGGCGCTAAGCTAAAGAATATATTTAAAGTATGTTTTAATATGTTTACATGTGTTGTAACGTGAACTTATAGGCGTGAGGGACACTGGTCAACAAATTTCCACTAAATCTTTTTAATCAGAGATGCATGTAAATCTTTCTAGATTTTTTGCGAAGATACCAAACCTGCCCTATTTTTTTTCTTTACATCCTGTTTTGGCGACAACAGTAACATTATGTGATATGGTAATACATTGAACAATATTTATGAATCAAGGCTTAGGTACAGCAACAGATGGATTTCTTTCTGGATAGCTATTAATTAGAACACATGCTGAAATCCGTATTGCACCAGCTTCTCTAGTTCAAACTTAAAAACAAAAGTAAATACAGGCCTCCAGACTATGGCAAAGGTTGAACTGAGGTAAATAGACTGTTCGTTGAAGTGTTTTTTTTTTTTCCTCCCTTCTTGTTTTCTGAAAAACACTTCAAAAAGACAAAGGCAATGATTCTATTTAGCTGATAAATGTGGCCCTTCCCATAAATGAACACTGGTAAGAATAACCCAAATCATCAGATGTTTGGCTAGAAAGAGCCCTAGACTTTGAATGCGCGCGCGCACACGAGGACTCACCCCAGCTGCATAGATTGCCCCCAGGACATCAGCAAACCTCTGTTCAAAAAAATGCAACAGGACCACCAGATAGAGACCACTGCTGATGAAGTCGTCGTATTTAAACTGTGGAGCGAGTCGACACGTCTCAGCACACAGTGCACTTACGTTCCCGAGAGCGTTTACGCTGACACTCAGGAAAAGGGGCAAATGCTTACCTGTGCATGTGTCCTGTACAGCTGCTGGAAATCAAAGTTGTCTATGTTCAAGCGCAACTTCTCCTTGCAGAGTTCACACTTGGTGATGGCTTCCAGATTGGTGCCTTAAAACACAGAATCAACAAAAGTGGTCACACACCGTACTTAAGTGAGTAACTCGGAAAAAAAAAAATACTCCAATATGACAACACCGATACCACTTAACCAGCTTGACATAACTCGCAAGTGGAGTAGGAAACATGTCCGCTGTGGCAATACTAAACATGGATGACAGACAACACGTGTTAGCTAACAAATGATGGTCTGCAAAATGGATGAACGTCGCTTGAATGGCAATGAAGGCCATCCAGCAAGCACCACATTCCAGGAGACGATATCATTATTTGGGTATTATTCTGGCTATCAGATTAATGTTGATAAAACGGAGGCTATGGACGTTTTGGGAGCTAAAACCAAAAAGTGGCTTTCGTTGGCCAAAAGAAGTCATGAAAGTATATTCCCCTCTTATTACAGAATTTGTATGATGCAAATTATGGCAGAATGTTTCATGTTATAAACCGTGACTCCGATCGCTGTTCAGGATTGCCTCTCTCAGTCCTTGGCCACTTTCAGTCTATTCATATGAATGTCCTGCCAAGGTTTTGAATATCTATTCCAAATGTTGCCTACTGGAATACCTCGGTCAACATTTGAAGAAATGGACCAAATTATTTTAAAATTCATAAAGCAGGGGAAGTGCCCTCAGATTAAATACAAAAACACTTCAAAGAGTTAAGGGAAAAGGTGGACTTCATCTACCTAATCTGAAATGTTATTTCTGGGAAACAATTAAAACCATTGATTTCATGGATGCAAAATGATGTTCATGCAAGATGCTTCTTGGGCAATGAAAAGTCAATGTGCCACGGCAAGCACTGCCATTTGTTGATACTGCAGTGGAGAGCTGGCTGGGGTGAACTAAAACCATTGACATTTGGAAGAGAGTCAAAAAGATTTATTTTTTTTTTTTGGTATTTGCAAGTGCGGTCATTGTTTTTATATCTCAAAGAAAAAGTAATGATATATCAACCGTTGAGATTTTTTAAAATAAAAACATGACAAGGGGACAAAAAGTACCGTATTTTCACGACTATAAGGCGCCATTAAAAGTCTTAAATTTTCTCCAAAATGGACAGGACGCCTTATAATGCGGTGCGTGTTATGTATGCGCCGAGTTCCAAAACCTGACTGAGAGCGCCTGTGGCCGACACGCTGTTTATATAGAGAAAAGGTGGACGTGAGTGACGACAGGCATGCGGAAGTCGGCCAATGAGTGAAGGGTGGGCGTGTAAGAGGACGCTAAAGGCACGTCCCTAGCAGGTACCAGTCCCCAATGAGTGAAGGGTAGGCGCATAAGAGGACGCTAAAGCCACACCCCTAGCAGGTACCAGTCGCGTGAGTACATTGTAAAATGGCTAAATAAAGTACAACCGAACTCAGTTTTGCTTCCGTTGCCTTTTTAAAAACATATTTTTAGCGTGTGTCCGTATGTCTTAGCTGCTACCGTATGCTTTAAGCTAACATACCTGGTATGTTTTAGCGTGAATGCATGCTCCCGAATGCTTCAAGCTAACGTGTTTTTAGCGTGCGTGCATGCATGCCGTATGTTTAAGCTGGCGTATGTTTTACCATGCCTGGCTGCGCCCAATAATACAGTGCGTTTTGTGTATGTGTCAAATACAGAAATAGCACCCGTTACTGAGACTGCGCCCAACAATACGGTGCGCCGAATGGTCGTGAAAATACGGTACTTCCAAAGTTATAACATAAAATATTTGTATCAATGGCTCCAAATTAGTCCATTCATGCAAAACAAGGATGGAGGCAGAGGCGATCCAAGTTATGCCTGATGAAAAGTGGAGAGGGCACACCGGACTACAAACTTGAACATGTGGAGAGATTTTATATTGAAAATATGGCCGAGCGATTTCAGGACCCCAGACATTGTTGCTGAAATGACCCCTAATGTTCCCAGCTTGTGTTGGAGGAACTGTGGCACAGAGGGGACTAATCTCTCACACAGACACGCGTCTATTCTGAAATGTTTTCAAATGTATGGAGTAAAGGTTAAAAGTAGTTGGAAAAATAAATATTTAATGTGCAGAAAGCTTCAACATCTACTTAATTACAGTGACCAAGTATTCATACTTTGTTACTTCCCACCAGTGCTGAAAGAACAGCAGTGGGGTGGGTAGGGAGGGGGTGAGGACGGAAAAAGAAATCATCTTAGTGAACGACACTACGAATTAACGTGACACACCTGACCCAATTTTGGAGCAGAGCCACCTCTTGATGCAATCCTCGTGGACGTACTGCAGACTTCCTGTGCATCGGCAAGGTTGAATCAATGGGTTGGACGCGGACTCCTCTCGCATATGGCAAATTCGGCACAGGTCTCCTTCGTCCTCATCGGAATCTTCCAGCATCAGTCTAGCAGAGAACAAGGGCATCATTGCAAGCTTCTCTTCTATTTTGAGGACACACTACAAACAAACGTTGGGAGTGGATCAATTCTTCCAAGGGTTGGGCGATAATGGCGGCATATAGCAAAATATAATTTTCACATAAATCCAGTTTTAATTATATTCTTCCTTACCCTTCGCTTAACCCTTTCACGCACCCTGTAACCTGATAAGATAATCTGTCCACTGTAGTAGCCGCTGTCCCTAAAAAGGTTAAAGACTACGCAAATGACAATGACATGATTCAAAATTTGTTTTGCTTTTGTTGTCCTTGCTTCATTTTTTCCTTAAAGCAAACAAGCACTGAAACTTTTTTTTCTTCAATGAGAATTACCTTAAACCAACTTGTTATTCTACCATTGCACTAAATTGTCTTCCTACTGAGATCAAAACTATTACCAGTTTGAGCGTTTATTGCATGGCCAAAAACATGACTGCTAGTATGATGGATGTCCCTTTTGTTCATGCCCCTCTCGTGATTGAGTTTCCTGTTCGAATTCATTGCTTGTCGGCTGTTCACGTCGCTGCAAAGACTGAAAGACAAGTGATAATATGATGAGGCCAAGAACAGTGAAATTCTAAAAGTTGCCTCTGACTTTCAGTTCTCAGTCTTGGGGGTCCCGTCCACACAAAAACGCGCTTCAACAATGGTGGACATGAACCATGTGATAGATATATTAAGTATATTGACTCAAACGGCTGTCCATACACAGTGTAAATTAGCAGCGAGGCACTCCGAACAAGCTGTCGTCTCACTCCTCCCCAAACCCCCCC